TCAACACATTGAATAGCTGTTTAGAGTTGAGGGATGTTCAGCTTATATGAGATGGCTGCAGTTTCCTAAATATGGGGACGTAATTTCTATAGAATTTACAAAACCAAGTTCACTAGGAATTACTGAGATTGTGGATTAATTTCTAAGTTACACGTTTGCTATACTTCCTTAAATGTAAACTTATTCAGTGTGAAGTTGATATGTAAGTAATCTTGATGAGAGGATGAATGTTTCAGCTATAGTCTTTAAATTGGCGTATAATCCTCTAATTCATGCATACGGTGTCAATATAAAAACCAGCTGTGGACTACAAATACTTTTACTTGCATGGGAATTTCACTTAGTACTAACAAAATCAGTGCATTCATATTGTATACTAATGTGTAGAATTATCTTTCATAACTTCGTGTTATGCTAGTCCTTACATGTGCATTATTTTTTCGGGTTTACGAAGGTTGTCGAGTATGAAATCAGCGAAGATGTCAATCGGCCAAACTAACGCTAATACCCTTCATCAGAATTTTCTTTTGTAAACTAATGAAATGTTTATTATACTATTAATTTCTACTACTCTCGGACTTCTCCCATGCGTCACTATACTATGGCTTTTGTAATATGTGAATTCGGATCAATGCATGCTAAGCTTAGTTAGTGGGATGGAGATTCACTCTAGTATTAAGAGATTGTTACTCTAGTCATTCATAGGATTTCTCTTCTGTTTCTATACAACAGAACATTGTAAAAATTAAGTAGGGTTTAACAAGTTGAATAATAATTCTGTACTGCGGATATGCTAAAGTCGCCTTATCTAGCCAGTTACAAGTCTGTATACTGTTAAACTCCAAGTCAGTAGTGCTAGTAAATATGGTAACTTAGGGTTAATAGCTAGTTTATCAATCTGTTATTATGCAGTGACATCATCAGATAGGCTGTTTATTTGACAATGAGCTGAGAAATAATTTTAACTTATTTCCAGTATGCCACTGAATGATGGAATATCATCTAATATCCATCATTTTTATGATCAACAACTGCAGTATTTGCATATCTACTTTATGGATACTAAATAACTTACGCCTTTATGCATCTGATTACAACAGTACTCCCTGTTAATTTGATGTGTGTTCACTGAATAAGTCTTTCATACATTCTCCAGCCAGCCGTTTGGAAGGACATTAGAATTGTACCTATTCCTAAGTCATCTACCAAAACATGTATTAAATTTAGAACTGTTTCTATTATATATCATTTTCTAAGAAATATGGAAAAGTTAATCTTGATCATTCTTGAACCCCCAGTTAGAGCCTTTAACGATCCCAAGCAATCCGCCTACAAACGTAGTAGAAGTACTTTAGATGCAGCGGCAGTCTTGTGTCATAACATTGTCTCCAGTTTAGACAAAAGGGCTAAATTTGTTCTCTGCACCTTCCTTTATTACGCATCTGCTTTCGACTTAGTACCCAGGGATATTTTGTTAAATAAGCTTGCTGAAACTCAAACTGAATGTTGGGTTGTCAAATGGCTTCATTCTTATTTTCTATAGTTTGGTTTGTAAGGATTAATTATGTTTTACGAGTTGATCACGGACTGATATCAGTTAGAGAACCATTGAAAACCAGGGAGTACTGGACAGCTGCTGTTTCATCCTAGTTTGGGAATCGTCGGCAGTGTGCGTACTGCCGTACGTAACTCAACCAAAAAACTTATTAATTCCCACCTGTTTAGTTAACGTAGCCATAACCAATTGTATTTCCGTTTCACAAACTTAATGTACACATGCATACGAAATGAACTTTGTCAAGTACGTGGACGATCTAACTACTTCATTGTCCGTTAACTCCCAGCTACACTGAACTAGGATGAGCAGCCTTCTATGAGGAGTCAGAAAAAGCTCTTAAGCTGAATCATTCTAGGCCTAGCTAAATTTCTATGCCCCGATAACTTAACTGACCCTGATCTATCAGTGTGACCTATGTAATTGACCCTACAGTAATTACATAGCATTAGGTAAATTGATATTTTCCTTAAGTGGATTGAATCTATGGCGACCTTAAGCCGACAAAATTTACCTCTGAGAATTGGCTAGTTTAGATGACTCCCTAATCCCAGACTCAATAGGGCCTTTGATTTTCCAAATGCAGGCATAATGTTCATGAGCTAGGTATGCGAATCAAAGTAAATGCTTGTAGAGTACATTCATTAATTATAAAGCTAACTATTACGTAAGAACTACGATTTGACCAGTTATACAACGTTTAATATATTTAGACACAATCAACATAAGCTGCTTACTTCTTTGACTCACTACCTAAAGTTAATCAGCTAACTTTAAGTAGTTCCCGCTGAAGGTAATCCCCTGTAGCTGCTACCTTAGAGAGCGACATGACGTTATCTTTGAATGAGAAAGTAAGAGTGGATATCCTGAGAACCTTCTTGGCAAAAAGAGTGTCTCCCATTCGACAAAGGTTAATATATCCTAATCTCCACCAAAGCGTTTAGAGGCATTTACCCTGTCACCTCAAATGATTCACTATTTGCAGTCACTTAAAAATTAAGAATAAATTTACCGAAGACTATGCTTATGATTTCTGGGTGTTAAAAATACACCATGAGAGAAGATTTGTAGCCATAGGGTTATAAGATTTAGACGCGTGATATTAATCCGAAGCATAGCGACTACTGTTCTCAGTCACAGAATATACTGTTTTGCTATCTATTCGTCTAATCATGTCGATAAATGTTTCGCCAAAAAAAGAAGACCACTGGTTCAAGGAAAATTTATTTAAAGTTTTCTTAAGAATCGTGGACATCCCGTAATTATACCCAAGGAGAAATTAGAAACATCCGAAAAATAAGAATTCGACTATTTGAACTGAAACAAACAATTTGGATTCAGCTAAAGTTTTCACTCCTAATTATAATCAGCTTCTCAGCTTGTTGTAACTTCCAGAAAACCACCAACTGTAGACCAAAATCCGAAAAGTTACTCTTGCTAATTAAAGTCCTACCTTTAACCAAGATAGTTCATCCACTCACCAGATCATCGGATGTTATCCGCTTTTTAAATTGTTTTTCCAAATATTGAATGGCTGATAACATTGGCTTTACTACAGACAGTTCTAGTTTGTGTTTTTGGGTCTAGTACATCAGGCATTAACAACCATTGGTAACAACTACCCTTCACAGGTTTCTGATTGCTTTCCGATTGATTCTTGTTTACAAAAGTACATACAAGCACCACATATTCATACTTCAAACGTGACCTTATTTATGCTACTTTTTTAACTGATAACAGACACACTGATGGTATACTCATCTTCGCGAAAAGCTTCGAAGTCTTTTCAACTTCAACCCGGGTTCTAAATTCCCCGGATCAATATGTTCTTTGAAAACCTTGCTAATATCCACTCTCATCGTGCTCTCCTCATCAGATTGACTCGTGGATTGTTGTATGCTATAAACATGAACGTGAAAGACATTGTTTTCTCCAGATTTCTACATGTTAAGTAAACAATTGAGCCAACAACAATACCGGCAACCAACAAATGAACTGGAAAAACAGCTTCTGTCACGCAAACATGTTCATGTGCATAATTTCCAAAGCATCTACACAGTACTATTTCATAAACAGCTGAAAAACAACTAAAACACTGAAACTCGCATAAAAGCAACATGAGAAACTGTTACAATGAAATGAATGCACAGATCTGGTGGTAAAAACATTCAAAACCATCGAAATAACTAATTTGAACAGCAACGGAAACAAAAATGAGGTGAAACGCAACATCTGTGAACAATATGCATCAAGATAAGTTGTGAATAAATTCAGGATAAACGTAAAAACCAATGTGTAGACGAACGGGGCAAAGTTAAACTTTAAGCACCACTAACTACTAATCAGCGAGCGACCTTCAACGGACCAATCACATGAAAGAGGGATTTTTGACAAATGAAAACGCATATTTATGGAAAAAACAGAAAAACTGCATAAAACTGTTACATAAAGTAACATCTTGCAGGTTAGCATAGGACTGTCAACAGAAAAGTCACACCACATTCTGTACATATATTCATCCAAATGACTATAAATGAGATCCTTTTGAGATCCATTTATATCCATAATCCTATTTTTCAATCTGCCCCAAAATCCTTCTATAGAATTTGTGTTTCCCGTAATGGGATCCACAAAATCACTGGAATGGTTCACTCTATTGTGAATATATCCAAAAGATGAGTTATAACCTTTCCATTTGCTATTTATCCCTGCTTCACAAATCTAGTAATAATAGGTATTAAAGTAGTTGACTTTCTGTCAGGTATTCTCTCCACGAATCCTTTCCGTACCGAGGTGTCATATAAACCAATTACCCAAACATTGTTGGCTCGCTGACGACCATGGTTGCATCTTTTGTAACACAGTTTCGTCCACGTGCACGACGATACCTTCTCTGCCCAACAACGAAGTAATTCTCTCAACTTTCCATGATGCGACGTCTCTGCAGCGCTGGTATCACTGAACTGCTGACACGAGGCTATTAATGGTTTCAGCAGCGGCGCCTCTCGCAGGCTGTTTTAAAACCCATTAGTTACAAATATACAAAATCTGCGTTAGGGAGAGATGCGACCTAACAGCCTCCTACGAAATATTAAAATTGTCAGCTTACCTTCTCTAACACTAACTCATCTCAAACAAATTGCACAACGATGGATATATCCATTAATCGACCTGCTAATGCTTTTTAAACTCATCACACCATTACATGAACAAATCCTCTCCTTCCTAAGCAACCCTAAATCCAGGCAGTACTGCAAAACCTTGTCCTCTTTGAATTGCAAGCGTAAGTTCGTAAGAGCACGCATCTGAAACGAATCAAGCTTAATACAACATTGAATTCACATGCATGAACCTCACTGAACCATTCGAAGTCGTTTGCCGATTGGTAGTTAGTGGTATTTACAGTTTAACTTGGCCACTAACGGTTAGTAAACTGCAATCCAACATGGCCGACTAACAAGGACGAAGATGACCTTCAGATGTCTTACTCCATCAGTGACGTTGAATGTGACGGACAAGTTTAGTCTATGAAGAAAAGCCAATCTCCTTTTCGAAGTGCGCGCGTTTTGGTGAACACCTTCAAAGAGAAATTAAATCTTTTCAGAAATAAACATTACAAAGATTAACACAGGCAACAAGAGTCCTTATCATCTGAATCCGTATACTAGTACATTTGCCAATCAGTGTTGGCGCTGAATCGAAGTTCAAGGACGCAAGGTAAGTTTTTTTACTGACATTTATATCTGATCCTCCAAGAGAGGGACCGCACGGATTACCTAGGGAAAGCCTACCAGAGTTTTCGTACCATTAAAGGGGAAGTCAAAGTTGGTTACGCTGACGTAATCCTTTGTGAATGTCATATCGTTCCTAGATTTAATGCTAACTTCCAATCTCATTTGTTCACCACTGCTATAAACCTTTTTTGTGACAGCGATATTTCCATAAAAAATTAAGAGGTGATAATAATACTTATAGTAGTACTAATAGTACACGGGATTTGAATTTCATATTTATGCTATTCTCGGCATTTTTGAGTTAGAAAATGTAGTATCGCAATATAAAGTAAGAAAATCAAAGGCCCCACTGAGTCTGGGATTAGGGAGTCATCTAAACTAACCAATTCTCAGAGGTAAATTTTGTCGGCTTAAGGTCTCCATAGATCCAATCCAGTTAAGGAAAATATCAATTTACCTAATGCTATGTAATTACTGTAGGGTCAATTACATAGGTCACACTAATAGATAAGGGGCATAGAAATTCAGCTAGGCCTAAAATGATTGACACTGCTAAGTTAAATAAGTTGGAACAAAAGCTAGGCCATTGCATTACACTCAATTGCACATTATTATTATTATTATTATTATTATTTGTTCCCTTGGCTTCCGAGTGGAACATATGACTTTAACAATACATCTCCACTTTGTCCTATTTTCTGCCATCCTCATCAGCTGGGTCTACGACTGACCAGACTCTCTCATCTCTTCCTCACACAATCTCCTCCATGGCACTCTAAGGCGACCCACTCGTCGCTTCCCATTTGGATTCCACTCGAGCGATGGCCTGGCTTGCGATGTCATCTGACGGTTTCCTCAATGTATGCCTGATCCATCTCCACTTTCTCCTACATATTTGTTCAGCGATCGACTCTTGATTGGTTTGTTCCCAGAGTTTCTTGTTAATAATTTTTTCTGGCCATTTGATCTTCAGTGTGGAGCCAGCGAAGGCAGCTGTTGATGAAAGTCTGCAACCTGTTGCACATAATCACACAATGTGGGATAGTGTGAAAGTATTAAAAAGTAATGTAGTTAGTTGGAGAGAAGAGTTAATCATTAAATCTTTGTTGATCGATTCAGCACTGAAGACGTGCAGTTGAAAAGACACAACGCCCATACGAGAGATGAGAAATTCCAACAGATGCAACAGAGAAGAGATAGAGAGAGAATGTATAATGCAAATTTTGAAGCCTTGTGTATAAATTGATATGGTTATGATCAATAAATTGGGTAAAGTTAAACAATAGTGTCCCAAGGATGCAAACGCACCAATGACTATGAACGCATGCTAGTCGTTGGCTAACGACACTCGTCATTATCACAGCGCAGTTATAGTTGGGGTTAGAATTAAGACTAGCGTTAGTATTAATTTTACGGTTAGGGTCAGCATTAACGATAGAGTTACGATTAGGGATCCCCAGTTGATAGATTTAGAGTTGGTATTATTTATCGTAATTTGTTTTATTATCCACATTTTCCTGGTAATTAGTCGTCGATCCTCTTACTGGAAACCGTATTAACTCAACCGAGGGTTTTTGGGGAAAACTGCAAAATAGGATAAGAGATATAAACGGGTAAAAAAATCCCAGCTTCAAGTCACCTCGGTTAATTAATACATGTACAGAAACTGGTCCATCTTAAAAACTGATACTCCTCATCATAACTAGGGCGTATTTTTAGGTCATGTCAGAGAAGGGCACCCTGTTTAATGTGTTCGCATGCATTTTCTTGTAAATAAACGCCCTTTTTTGTGCAAAAATCACTTATTTTTATGGTTGGTTGGCTCAAAGTCACTCGTGCGTCCGCATCCTTTGGGACGCTATTGTTTAGCTTTGTCATAAATTGTGCTCGAAACATTACCCACTTATGAATACTATATCACCTGTGTTATAAAATAGATGACTTACGTAATGTGAAAATACAATCCACTGCAATGCCAAAGTTCTACACGTACACTGCTAGGTTTTTCCCAGCATTCGCTTGTCATAACTTGAAACGGGCTGCTGTAATCAGTGCATAACAAGTTATCTTGATATCTATTCCAATAAAATGCAATGAAAAATAAGCCTAAATGACCACTAAATTATCTTTTGGCCATGAAAGCAATAAACTTTAATGATCAATAAAACTAAGCAGTACTCGCAACCTTCCTACCATATGTACTGCAGTGAATCTGAACAATGTGATTACTAGTAAAGCGACATCCCAACTCAGAGTTTGCAATTGAAGAGACATTATAAGCAGGAAACTTAATACTGCTGGGCTGCATTCCAAGTTGCAACACTTCGTCACCCCATATCGAACTATAGGCAATGAAAAGTGAATATTCTTTAATCAGAAGTTGTAGAATGTGAATAGAGAGGAGCAATACTACCGTCACTTTCAAGAGTAGACTGCAGATCTATTCTGAGACTTCATGAATGCAACCAACACTTCCCTATTTGGCTTAGATCAGCACACACTGACATCATGGATTAGATAGACGTATCTCACTCCACAACTTTGATTGTTTCATTTCTGCTTAATATGTTATTTTGGTGTTTAGTATCCATCTTTGTACTAGTTTCGTTTCATGCATTATTCTTCATTTCAGCTTTTGTACCAGATCACTTGTGAAGGGAAGCATGATTGCATGTAAATGGAGAAACTGACCTGTAATGATGGTAAATTAGCGCCTAGTTCGATCTGCTGATTTAGTTTTTGACCGCAATGACGTGTACTTCCCTGCATAATCCCCAATATAAAGCATAAAATACATGAAAGAAGGCAGGTTATTATGTACTTGTGGGTTATTTGTTGGAATTGTGCTGCTCTTTTTCACATTGTCTCCATATAGTCCCACATGCCTACTAAGAAGCTGCATTCATGGACAGTATAAAGTAGGCTTTTCTAGTCCTTTTCAAAGCAAAAACAATGAAGATTCAATGCTAAATCATTTTAAGACCAATGGAAAAAATGAATCTGTGCTTGTTTTCCTTCATATACAGAAAACTACTGGGACACTCATTGAACGTCGTTTAGTTAAAGATGGTTTAGTGAACAAAAATTGTTACTGTTTTGGTCGAAGACGATGTAGCTGTAGAACTCAAAATGGTAATACATGGCTCGTTAGCAGATATTCTACTGGATGGCTTTGTGGACTTCATGCAGATTTGACCGAATTAACGGAATGTGTTGACAACAAATTAAATAAAATTGATCGTCGTACCCTGCATAGGAGGTGAGGTATACTAATGTCTTACCTCTTTGATTTTATTGTCTATTTTCTTAGTAGAAAAACGATTTGTCACATAATCAGTAATTGAAAATGCATTAAGAAGTATAAGTATATAAGATGTGTCTTTTATTCATGTATGCTTATTTGTCACCAGTGTGGGAATACACACTTTCTGCTTCATCCTTCTTTAATAACCATCATCTAATATTAGTACATCTACGTAGATGTTGGTTTGATATGTATGGTCCTATGCGATGTTTTCACTGATTTCATACACAGATTCACCCAAATGAATTTGAAGAAAGCAATAACAATACACAGTGCAGGATAAAACGGATCCATCTTGTCAGCTGCATAAAAACATAAGTAGCGAAATTAGATAGTTTTATTACTACAGTTTTAACATACTTTATTTCATTGAAGATAAAGTGTGAAGCAATAATTAAGAACGATCGTATAATATATTGATTCCAGTGTTGATGTAGTAAAATATAGATCAAAGTTTCTCGAAGAAAACAAAAGGGTGCAGAGAAAGGTTAGCACCAATATATTGAGGTACAAAAATTACAGAATTACCTAAGTCATTTGAATATTGTTAATAAACAGTTGAGGTATGAAATATGAGGCATGAAGTTTAATACATTATGACGTAACTAGGTAAGAGTAAAAAGAAATCAGCGTATACATTCAAAAATGGTATAATCAATTAAGGTTAAAGGATGAGTTACCATGGTAGAGAAAGACTTACTGCATTGTTTCTAAATACATAGGTCAAGTTTTAATCGTTTGATAGGAATGGCCTCTGCGAAATTCAAGAGACTTAAGGTTGATTGTTTGTTTATCATTATTTAAGAGATTCAAATTACCTACCAGTTTTCTTTGAAGGCGAATAGAATAAATTATGATTAGTGTGTTATAAGGCGGAACAGTTTAGTATCTGAGTAATGCAAAAATTCGCGTTGGTAGTAGCAGTGTCGTGAGAGCTGGCTGCAAGCCAAAAATTGTAGTTCAGCAATTTACGTCAGTGTTACGTCCCGAGTCGGGGTCACGAGAAAAACAATGACAAAGCTTAACCTTGAAGAACTCGCCAACCAGTCACAGCAGACTTAACGTGTGCAAATAGAATTCGCAGATACACATGGCTTAACTTTCTGAGTAACGGTCACACGCAGTACAGAATAACCGTCAGCAAGAAAACAAGCAATCAGAAGACGTTGCTTCTCCGCTGACAATAGTATACATGAAAATCTATAAATATCTGTGGATTTTCTCAATAAACGATCCGTTGCCAGGCCCTTGTCTTCTGACGTTACACTAGTAGTAGTGTAACGACAGAAGGCAAAAGTCAGGTAACAGATCATTTATTGAGAAAATCCACAGATATTTATAGATTTTCATGTACATTATTATGGATAGTTAAGCGAACAAACACAATCTTCCGATTGGTTGTTTCTCACTTAAAATTAATCTTTCATCTATTTGTGACTGTTTCTTGAATGTCAAATCCTCTATCTGTTAACTGCATCCCCCTACGCGAAGTCTGCTGTGGTCGGTTTTGAATCAATCTTTGTTCACATTTTCTCACGACAAATCTTGGGAACGTAAACATTGACGTAAATTACTGTCTACCAATTTGGCTAGTAGACAGCTCTCACCACAGTAGTAGTATCTCTAAACGCAAAATTATTCAGACCTACAGTAGTGGTTTTGTGTACTCGTAGGATTACCCTACTACTCCCATCCTACTGATTGATCAGTTTGGGAAGAAACGTTTCTTAAAGTGAATCCGATCCCCACCAGCCAAACAATCGAATGCTAATTAACTGTGAATACTTCACATGAGCTTCAAGTGATGTAATATTAAGGTAGGAATGCTAGTTGTCCCATAAGGTAAATATTTGATTAGAATTTTGTAAGTATACACAATAATCCATTCAGTTGCACTATATATTTCAATTTATTTGGTTGTTTTACAGCAGTATAATGTAGTGGTTATCTGACTTTACACTAGTTTTTCTTCCTTTTTAACCTTATTTTTCGTTTAGGTACATATATTTCACTATTCTGCGTGATCCTATAGACCGTTTCATTAGTGAGTGGCAGCATACTCGCCGTGGTGCCACATGGATTTCGGCTAGTCTACGCTGTAACAGACAATCACCACCATTTAAATATTACAAACCTTGTAGCTTTTTTATTAATAATGATGATGTCAATAATAATACAACTGATTGGTTAAATGTAACGATGCAATCTTTTCTAAACTGTCCTTATAATTTAGCGCATAATCGTCAGACAAGAATGTTAGCAAATCTTTCACGTTTAGAATGTTATAAGCATTTAACTGAATGGTCTCAACCAGTAAGTAACACTACATCGCTAACTTCTATTTCGTCAGTTCAACTAGCTCTTTTAAACAGTGCTAAACATAATCTAGTCAATGTTATCCGGTGTTATGGTCTTAGCGAATACTTAGTTTATTCACAATACATTTTACAAAAGTGTTTACGCATTACTTTTAAACGTTCATTTATTGAATTCAATAAATTATCTATTATACAGCAAAGGTTATTGTATACACATGCTACGATAGCCCGTTCAAATCTAAGCTCAAATGTATTGGACAAAATTGCTAATGTAAACAGATTAGACATATTATTGCATAATTTTGCTGAAAAATTGTTTCTCTATCGATTAGTTCGTTATTTATTATTTGATTCTAGCCTACCAATGCATTTTAAACGACCATTATACACTGTATGGGAATATTATTACAAGCATAAATCAGATACACCTTTAAGGATTTTACTGTTTTCTAATCTTATCGACTATGATAATATTAATAGCACTGCTAATACCAGTAGAATGTCGTCATTTTCTCACCGATTAAATCTATTCTTAACGCATTTATTTATTCGTAAAGGAAGTGTTCCAGTTGCAGAGACAGTGTTAATCAACGAAAATCGTCGGTGGAGAAATAAGCTGGCTTATGATTTAAAAGCATGAATTGTAATTTTTGTTTTTACACCCTTTTTATTTTATATTTTGTTATATTTTACTAATATATGTTTACCTATTTGTGCATTATTTTTACTTTGCTAAAATGTATCGCCAGTGTGTGTGTGCTGATGAATCGAAATAAAAGTACCCTTTAAAGCATACCTGAATAGTTCTACTTTTTGAAATGTATCTGTCCAATGCTGTCTATACTTACGGATAACTTTTCACAAAGAAAATTATCACTTGCGGTAAATGTGTTTGAATGCATTATAAGTGATTAAGTCGGTAATTTATACGTAATTTGTCCACTAGCTTTTAAATAAGCAATGAATTTCCAGTGGTATTTATTAAAACACAAACTTGGTATATTATGGGCGCGAAGAGAAGCACCACACACAGTCTTGTAGTTTTTAAAAAGGCTGGGATACTGCATGGACGCCCAGACCGAATCAGGTGGTCGTTGTAAGCGGCCACCTCCTCCTGAACCTCTGACTGAAGTCTAATCCACAGGGCAGTGTAGAGGGTTCAGGAGCTATGTCCTTATGGTTACCAGTGGCCAAAACAGGTTTATACGTCATTCGATCCTTATGAATTCTGTAACCTGTGTACACCATAGGTTTGGAATCAGGGTCTTCCAGCTCCCCTAGGTAGAGTTGAATGTCCACCAGTCCGGTTGTAGACTCCAGTCGTTCGCATTCGTTCTTTTACCTCACCTCTGTGAGGAACACGCTTACCGTTTGAAGGCAGTAAATAGGATTCACCTGGGAGATATCCTAAGATTGTTTGTAGTCGTCTGTTGAAGTCGGCTACTGGGCCGTAGCCTGCGGAGTCGTCACTTATCAGTTATATAATATGATCACTAGACTAAATAGTGTAGGTTGTTTGTTAGATCTTAAGAGTAAGTCAGTCTTCTGTCATTGACTTCAGTCATTTCCTTTCTATATCCACTAACTTGGCCCAACGACTGTATTTCGCTCTTTTATTGGTTGAATTCGGTCATAATTAAGACTGTCATTATGATACTTGATATACGATAATTTGTCTGTTCAGATATTTCAGTCCAACGTTCCGAATAATGAAGTGTTGAGTCTCAGACAGCACTGGATTTTCAGCGTAGAACATTGCGTCCCACATTTCATAAAGCACACAATGGTTGAGAAAAAAGAAAGTATAATATGGGAGGAAGAATAATGAGAACTTAATGGATCTTTTTTTTATTCCTTTACGTTCCCAGTGGAACATAGGGCTTCAAGCTAAGAGCTTGAAGTTTCGGTAATAGTGGTGTTTATTTTCATGGGATGGGGTTGCTAGCCTGATGCCCAACCTTCTCTCATTACCAGTTTTTATTACTGGCTTAGCGAAATAAAGGAGTGCATCTTCCGGGGATCGAACCCCGAACCACGTGGATGGTTGGCAAGCATTCTACCGCTGTGCCACCATGGATCTGGGAGACCACAAAGAGTAAATGTGCCTGCGACTTTGAGTCATACCACTGACCGTCTCCATCCATTGATTTCTGGCGTCTCGATTACCGTAGTCTACACTTGTCTATGTGGCCGAAAGTATCAATCGAAGAGTTCATGGTGTGATGTCATATTTTGATCTGACCGTCACTAACTCTTTTCCAATGAAGTATTATATAAGTCAACACTGTTCGACAAGGAAAATGAGGGCTCAGAATGCTTGGTACAATGTCCTAGGCATTGTAATCGATGTAACATCACTATCTACTTGATCAACTTTCCCTTCTTACCTAAAACTGAACACCTAACGCCATTATTACTGTCCATATTATACTACCTAACATGGTAGATAGGACGCAGACACATTCTCGAAGATGGCCAGCCTCTTCATATCTTCCACTTTGAACGATCGTGTCTTCGCCGCAAAAAAATGAAGGGGCGAAATGCCCATTGATGCTTAGTGTTAGAGCTTGGTATAGCAAAATGACACAACTCAGAATTCATAGATCATCGAATCCCAAGCCAGTAGCTAGAATGTCAACAGAATGACCTCGTAACTTGGAGACCCTGAAGATTTCCAAACTAGGACGAAACAATGTTCAGTGTCTCTTGATTTTCAATGTCTCTTCAACTGGTTTCAGTTTGCGACGAAATTAACCAGAAATGCTGTGAGTCCTCTACTTGAATTACGGGACTGATTTGCTTTATCAACCAATTCAGCCCTCAATCAGCCGTGATTACATCTGCGGAAGTGGGAACTTGAGATTTCCAAACTGATTATCAATGGCTAGGTCAAAAATATTGGCCGATGGGATAGAATTGTTGTATCTAGTTGAGAGTTCATCTTTCAATGGACTACAAATTTGACATATACTTATCAAGGTTTATTGTAAATGCGTCTAATTGATGGTCATCAATTTCTTATTTATTTTATTCCTTTACGTTCCCAGTGAAACATAGGCCTTAAAGCTAAAGCTTCGAAGTTTCGGTAACAGTGGTTTTATTTTTACCGGGTGGGATTGCTAGCCTCACACCCAACCTTCCCTCTCTACCGAACTTATTACCAGCGAGGTGAGGTTTGGAAGTGCGTCGCTGCGGGATCGAACCCCGACCAATATGGGTGGTTGGCGAGCATTCTACCTCTGCGCAGATGGTCATCAATACGTTATTTAAATAATTTTTATCTAGTATCTTCCTTTGTTTTATTAATGACAATTGCAAAAACTGTTAAACCTGACATAACAAATTAAGAGTTATCAAGCAGTAAATTTGAAGCTACCAATGCTATTTAAATAACAATAATTCTTTAATTTTAAGGTATTGGTTTTGCAGTGATTTTGTTTGATAGGTTGGAGGATTTCATCATGAGCTGACATCAGTTAGAGAACTATTGGAAAATCTGCGAGTACTGGACAGCTGTTTCGTCCTATTTTGGGACTCTTGACCAGTGAGCAGCCACCGGGGTTCGAACCCAAGACCTTCTGGTTACAAGGTGATCTCGTAGACCATTACGCTCGGGTCCCAGTGGCTTAATTGTCTACGAGCTCACCTTGTAACCAGAAGGTCCTCGGTTCGAACCCCGGTGGGTGCGTACTGATCAAGAGTCCCAAACCAGGACGAAACAGCTGTCCGATTCCTTAATTATTGTGGACATATAACTGTAGAACCTGATGAAGAGAGCAAGTTATCGAAACGAATATTCTTTGTTCACTAATCAGTCTTTTGAAGTTAAAGAACTATTTTCTTAACACAAAAGGAAAATAAATTGTGTTATTTATATGCGAAAGACACTGCTTTGCAGTCTAACATTAACCTGAGAGTTTTATTTGCTCTGGAAATGATACAGAAGACCAATGGTCACAAGAAATGAGTACACTGTGTGCCATTAGTTATTTGTAATTAATGGCTTGCAACTAAAAAACTGTTATTTCGATTCCTGCTCCACGGGTCATGGTTCAATCGACTAAGTAGTGATTAAACCAATGTGTAGCTGTTGAAATGGATTGTTATTTTCATAAAGCTTTCTAGCTGCATTTAGTATAACCGTTAAAACACTTTACTGCAATGATGGTCGTAAAGACACTGAATAAGTTAAGAGATTGGCTTGTTGACGCCTTCGACGCAAGGCCAGATCTAAAGCTAAATTTTGTGCATGCAATTTATAAAAGGCGTAAATCACCCAAATTACTGTTAGTATCAATGACCATAAAAATAGAATCATCATATCAGTTTTCACAGTATTCTTAAGTGGCCATTCATATATTCCTCTTTGAATATGTAAACGATAAGCAATCACTGGTTTACCAGTCCATAAGCTGACATAACTTTTATTATTTCTGCTGGTAATATAAGAACTTGAATTTCTCGTATGACAGTAATAAGTACCAGAGTCACTCCTTCTAATAACTTTGAATTTCAAATCACAGTCCTCTGTGATATAAACTAGTTCATTCTTTTCTGTCTTCAGTGTGTATGTAATGTCTCTGGATGATTTCCATATGGCATCCATATGTTTCTTAGTGCAATTCAACTGTCTTATTTTATTCACGTTGCATTTCAATACCACATTCTTCTGATTCTCGATTAAGATGTTTTGTATCTTCAAGTAATGATAATCTCTGATAGTTTTTATTTGAATTGGCTGATTGATGAGATGTTTTTGATCTAGAAGTGTGATAAACTTCATTGGATGAATTTGTTTACATAATATTTCATAATTGACCTCTGCATGCACACCTGCTGGTGGAAAATCAGGTATTGGTATTGACATATGCTGTAATAATTCGTATTCACATGGGATGTAGATGTATTTACTATCATTGTATACATCAAATCCTAAACGTCTAGCTTTATTGACAGCCAGTTGATGTGCACTGTTAGACCCCTGATCTTCTAATCGTGTTATTAAACCCAATGATGACCTTAGAATTTTACCTGTCTCTCTGACTTCATTGTTCCCCTCGTCTATTTCCATGATTGATTCATGCCGTGGTACTTTCAAATAACACCGTCTATACTGATTAATTTTAATTTTCCCACAATATCTTATAACATTGTGATCATAGTCGGGTTTGAATGTAATAGTCATGTAGTCGTATTGACGATCATTTAATTCTGAGATGTTATTTAGTGCAATACGTGCTTGATTTTGTATTATATCTATTTGTTCAACACTGTCTATTTGATTATCGAATCCACTGATACGTGGTATGTCAATAGCTCTAGATTTTCTTTTGAATACACCTGTTCGATAGAGATGATACCATATGAAATTAGCCGGATGATTAGTATCATTCACATATGTGCATACATATGTCCCCATAAATTTATCAGCGGCAACATTTTTTGCAACTAAATGATTTTCTTGTTGAGTATAACATGGATTATATAATGAGATATTTTCAACTGACTCTAATAATTCATTTTTAATTGATATATAACTTTCATAAATGCTTTGATTAGATATAACAAATATAATTTGTTTCTTTGAAGCTGGAATATACTTCCATTTAAATAATTCCATACTATCATCTGTACATATTGGACAGTATATAGTGAATGTGATATTAGTCTCTTCTGAATTAAACAATAAGAAGTTATGCCGTCTACTGGCTTTTTCTTTACGTGCAAGTATACAGTCTTTAGTCGCCTTTCCAACAAATCCTCTAAAGTTGCATTTCTGCATTTCACCAGCTGCTTCAACCAGCAATTCACTGGTTAATATTAATAAAAGATAAATAATTTTATATTGGAGTATCATTCTATTCTTGTATCACTTGATATTACAAAGGTATTAGAATCATAACTGAAGTATATTATTATTATTATTATTAACTTCCTTTATTATAATACACTTTGTTCATAAATTGATCAATTTTATGATGTGATTTAAAATGCCTTTCATCAATAATAACACTGTCATGTTATATATGTCCAAACCAAGTTCACTTTTAACAGTTTGAAAAATTCGGGCATTGAGTATATGATATTCATTATAATCAAGGTTTTTGTATTTCCTAATCAATGGAAAACAAAACGATGTTGTTGTTTTTACTGACGTTTCGCTGTTTAATGCTGTTGTTAATAACTTTATCAAAATAGTGATATTAAAACAGAAGTGAGAACAGGAGTAAGACAAGCTGGCTGCCTACTATCGCCAATGATTTTCCTGATTGCAGTAGATTGGATAATGCGACAAACAGCGGGCAACGAAGAGACAGGCATAAAATGGACCCACACAGAAAACTTGCAGGATCTGCACTTCGTCGATGATATATGTCTGATTTCCCACAAACTGGGAGATATGCAAGCGAAAAGCAACAAGTTGGCAGAAGAAGCATCAAAGATAGGACTTCAGGTGGACATAGAGAAAACAGAGGTGATGAAGATTCCTCGGCAACACCACCACCAGCAACAACAACAGACAACAATAAGCATAAATGGAAGGAACCTGAAAGAAACAACCTCCTTTACCTACCTGGGAAGCATCGTTTCAACTACAGGCGGAACTGACGAGGATATCAAAACAAGAATCAGAAAAGCAAGACAAGCTTTCACTACTCTCAAGTCTGTGTGGAGGTCAACAGCGCCACTCAGCATCAAAAATAAGATCCGGATTTTCAACTCCAATGTGAAGTCAGTGCTACTTAACATACGGATCAGAGACTTGCACTGCGCGTCATAAAGAGCATCTCAAACAAACTACAGACCTTCATTAACAGTTGTCTTCGCTCAATACTCAAGATCAGATGGCCAGAAAAGATCAGCAACAGGGATCTCTGGGAGCGAACCAACACAGCGGAAACCGATTGTGAAACAAATAGGCAGGAAGAAATGGAGATGGATTGGCCATACTCTTAGGAAACAATCAAGTGACATCACTAAACAAGCCATTGCTCGAGTGGAACCCGAAAGGGAAGCGGCGAGTTGGTCATCAGTGCAAGGGTGACTTGGAGGAGGTCATGTGAAGAGGAGATGAAAGCGTGTGAGCAGACTTGTAGCCAGGTGAAAACTCTATCAGAGAACCGAACGCAATAGAGACGCACGGCTGAAGCCCTATGTTCCTGTAGGAATTAAAGGAAACAACAATAATAATTATATCTATAACGACTTAATCATCGTTCCTCAGCATGGGGTCATTTTTGCGTTGTCAAATTGACCAATTGGTAAAGATAACAAAATCAGGTGTAGACTGTTGGATTTGATAAGTGTATAAAGTTATAAAAGCAGCGTGTGTTTACATAATGAAATTGTTTATCACATTCGTGTTGATTTTGTCCTTTCAAGGAGATGTGTGTGTGTGTGTTGTAACCAGGTCAAATTCTGTTTTAGTCCATCATTTCTATTCAGACAATTTGGATTCCATTTCATATGAAGTGCTTCTGATGACATCAGACGTTCTTTGTAGTTCCTGAAATTTTCTGGATTATTTCAATATTGTCAAAATCAATTTTGTGACCTGATTCTATAGCGTGTAGACCTATGGACATCACAGAGCATCTGTTCAACCACCGAGAAATCCAGTTGAACTAGAAAAGCTTGAAAAATCATCAGCCGTAGGTCTACACGCAAAATCAATCAGGTCACAAAATTGATTTTAACAAAATTGAAATAATCCAGAAAATTTCAGGAACTACAAAGAACGTCTGATATCATCAGAAGCACTTCATATGAAATGGAATCCAAATTGTCTGAATAGAAATGATGGACTAAAACAGAATTTGACCTGGTTACAACACACACACACACATCTCCTTGAAAGGACAAAATCAACACGAATGTGATAAACAATTTCATTATGTAAACACACGCTGCTTTTATAACTTTATACACTTATCAAATCCAACAGTCTACACCTGATTTTGTTATCTTTACCAATTGGTCAATTTGACAACGCAAAAATGACCCCATGCTGAGGAACGATGATTAAGTTGTTATGTATAAGCTGATATTTTGTAAATTCTGTTTTAATATCACTATTTTGATAAAGCTATTAGCAGCATTAAATAGCGAAACGTCAGTAAAAACAACAATATAGTTTTGTTTTCCATTCATTAGGAAATACAAAAATCCTTTATTATAATGAACACTGTCATGTGTCTATTAATCGCCTTTTTACACATTCAAGTATAACTATGTATACTTATGTAATTCAACCATGAGATAGTCTTTGAAAGAAGCTGTTTTGTATTGTTCTTTGAATTATTTTTGACAACTTTCCTTCTTCTGCTTACACTGTGACAGGAGACGGACGATAAGAGACTTGATAATGGACCTTGACCAAAGAAAAACACATCTTAGCTATAATGAATTTCGGCAGGAGAATAGAGGAGAATAAATTGTTCTGACTGGTTGGTGACTGGTCCAATGAGGTTATGTCTTGTCTACAGTGTCGTAAATTTTGGTCGCTTCCTATCAGTTTGCATCTATTTACCCCTCATAAATCTTGTATGTAGCACACGCCATAACACTATTTATACTAGTAATATATTCAACTTTAGAAATCAGCTATTAAATAGTCATGTAATCTGAACTCATTTTATTGTGGACAAAGCTTATGATGATTGACAACCAACTATCTCCAGTGTTGTGACTACTGTGGATCTCGCGTGATTCATAGTTTGTAAATTGTGAAATATACATCTAAGATGATCAGAAAGATAAAAAGACGGATGCAGTGAAGAAAAATAATTTTTTTCTTGATGGACTTATGGACTAGGCTGTACATTTGTGAATATATAAAAAAAGACGGAGAAAACTATAGAACTACTTCCGGCCAGAGGTCTTTATATAATGGATAACAAGATGAAATTACGTGGTACAAACAGAGATGAAGAAATATTTTCACTTAACCTAAGGTTTGTTTTCGTATGAAACTGATTTATATCATGCTTAACTGGCTCTACAACCGCAGCTGTCAATGTCACATATTACACATATTAACCAGCTTGTTAATATTCTGGTTGACAGGCACATGGACTCATGTGAAAAATGAGCCAAATCCATTTTATCTAACTCACACCACCCTCTTCACACACAACTCTCCCCTTACATCTCATCAGGCAAAACCAGAAGCCTATATAGAAAACTATATGCTCGCACCAGCAAGTACAAAAGCTCAACCATACCCTACTTAGCTCGTGTTCTGTGCGATAAAAAAAGCATTAGGCGTGACACCTATAATTCATTAAATAGTCAGTAGTACGACGGGATCTCGTCTTTCCAACTCATATCATTTATAGGTACAACGTTTTCTTTCTTTCTTTTCCTATTCTCTCTCTTTTTTTCCGTTTTGTGCTGCTTTGTTTCTTTCTTCCGCTTACGCCAGTAAATATGATAACACCTACTTTTCTAACACCTTCAAACACTGTTTAACTTTGGCTTTGCTACCGACATGCCAATATGTTGTTGTCATAATGAACTGAGATTTCCTTTATCTATGTAGAATTCTATTTATTGATAATGTACTAACCGGATGCAATACTGTAGTAAAAAATGCTGAGAATTCCATTCTGTACCACAAGTACTATTTTGGAATAGAGCAAATTATTATTATTATTACAACTCTGTATGAATTTTCCTGATTTGGAAACTACTTCATCACTATGGAGTGCAGCACACCAGATCTTTATCTATCAGGCGATCCACAACGAAAGACTCAGAAAGGCGTTCAAAACGTATACATGAGCAAGACAAGGCTGCCTATTATCACTGATGATATTCATAACTGCGGTGGACTGGATTATGCAGAAGACTGTGGGGAGTCAGAAGACAGGAATACATTGGACCGATAGGAAGACTCAGAAGATCTGGATTTCGCGGATGATTTGTGTCTAGTGTTACACAAACTCGAAAACTTACAGGTAAAAACCAACTAACTGGCAGAAGAGGCAGGCAGGGAAGACACGAATTCAAGTGAACACAGAGAAGACGAAGGTGATGAAGATAACCAACCAATAACAAGCACCAATTAATGCCAACAGGAGAAATTTGAAAGAGGTCACTTCCTTCACTTGTCTGGCTAGACAGCATCGTTTCAACTACAGGCAACAGCATGGATGAGAATATCAAAGTCAGCTAGAATCGGAAAAACAAGACAGACATTCATCACTCCGAAATAATTAATATAAGTATAAAACTTATATTATATTACTGTATATTAATATATTTATATTATATTATTACTGTAATATTACTGTATGACACTGTGTGATTTATCAAAATAAAGTCTTATCCATAATGGATTTCCACTCCGAAATCAGTTTGGAAATCTTTTGCACTCAGCATAAAGAACAGGACACAGATTTTCAACACAAATTTTAAGCCAGTTAGTTCTTCAATATGGGTCAGAAATTTGGCACGTCACGGCAAGCATTTCCAATAAGTTGCAGATTTTTACCAACAGTTGCCTGCGCTGGCTCCACACTGAAAATCAAACGGCCAGAAACAATTAACAACAAGATACTCAACGAACCAATCAAGGACGTATTACCCAAAAAATATGCGTAGGAGAATGGACATGGATCAGACATATGCTGAGGAGACCGCTGGATGACATCACACGCCAAGGTCTTGAATGGAAAACGATGTATTGAGCATTGGTCCGAAGGTGACATGGAGGAGATCGTATATGGAGAACATGAGGGGTTATGGACAGTTGTGGACCCAGCTAAAGAGGACTGCGGAAAACAGGACAAAGTGGAGAAGTGTTGAAGCTCTATGTTCCACTCGGAACCCAAGGGAATAATAATAATTATTATG